CCTGCCATTCCTTCTTGATTGAAGGATATGGAACCCTCAATGATTTGATACTTTCCCCTGCTTTGAACCATAACCACTAATACTTACCTGGTCCAACTACGTCTACTGGAAACCCGCTTTGAACAAGAATATATATCGTGATTCTCTTGGCTAAGCCTGGCAGGTTCGATCAAGCCCACCGGCCAGAAAATGCACAGGTCCAACAAACTCTATAAAGCTTAGGTAATGACTTACTGCACCACAAAGGTGGACTCTATGTCCCATATGATGTAATTATCATCATAATTCATCTAGAAGAACAAGAGCAAACCAAATAATTTAGACGTGAAAGAATGTGAGAAGTAATAAAATACAAGAACATGAGAAGTAATTAATAACAGTAGCAAGCAAGAATACAAGACAGGAGAAGAGCAACCAAGCAGAGTCGACCTAAAGCTCGTAAAGCTGACCATTGAAGGATCTATTGTGGCCTCTAAGAACATGAAATAATGAAATATCTTTCTAAGAATAAACTTTTGTGAATTCTCCATCTGAATTGTTTCCATGTAAAACCCATCTCCATAATAATCACAATAAAATTCATGATATGAGTTCTTTTGTTTGTTACTTCTGTGCATGTAATGCAATACAGTATTTTTTAGTCAAAAAAAAAAGAAAATGCAATACAGTATCGCCTTGGTATATAATAAAACTTACAAATGTGACAATGCCCATTTTCAGGAAAAAATAAAAACTATATTACAAAGATAAAGACAAATTTATTACAAAAGTACAAACAAAGCAAAGGTGTTTCCAGAAAATAATTACATAATATGACCCAACTCACCAACCTCCTCAAGATAAGCCAAAATGTATTGACCTTGATCAAAAGAAAACATAACAACAAATGACGAATTTGGAGACCAATCTTGCTCTTCAGCTTCCGCTAATCGATTTCACAAGCCGAGATCTAAAACTGGGAACTATCGAGTGGGATTCGGTAAGAGGCGATGTGCGGAAAGCTTTCGAAGAGTACGGATGCTTCGAGGTTTTGTTCGATAAAGTCACTGTCGAGCTTCGAAATGCGGTTTTCGAGGCCTCCGAGGAGTTTTTCCGGTTACCATTAGAGACAAAACAGAAAATTGTGTCTGATGTAAAGTACAAAGGATATGTAGGTCAAAATCCTACAAATCCTCTGTACGAAGGTGTAGGTATTGACGTTGCAGACAATTCAGATAAAGTCAATGAATTCACTCAGAAGCTTTGGCCTCAAGGAAACATGAGTTTCAGGTTTTTAGGATCTTGAATTGTTTTTCCTCTTTCTCTCATTATTTATTCGTTTGGATCAGAATTCTAAAGAATCATTGAGAGTTTGCTCTGTTTTCTACAGCGAGACGGTTCTATCGTTTACCGAGCACGTATCAGAACTGGACTATAAGATCCGGAGAATGGTAATGGAGAGTTTTGGCCTCGACGAAACCTACATAGAGAAACATCTGAAATCGACGAAATGCCTTATGCGGATGATGAAATACAACGGAGTTGATAAAACAGAAGAGAAAGAGTTAGGCATGGAGGCTCATGCAGATAGAAATGTACTCGCCATAATTTGTCAGAACCATGTAAGAGACGGAATCGAGGTGAAAAGTAAAGACGATAGGCACTGGATCAAAGCTAATCCTTCCCAAGATTCTTCATTCCTCGTCATCGGCGGAAGTATTCTACATGTAAGTTACCATCGATGATGAATAGTGCCAGTTTGATGTTTCGGACTGGACTGATGATGATGTCTAACTATGTTTTGAGGTACAATTGAACGGTCGAGTGCGAGCTGCAGTTCACCGTGTGATAAGGATGGGGACCAAAACAAGGTACTCAGCTGGACTTTTCTCTATGCCGAACACCGATGAATTGATATATGCACCGGAGAATATGGTTAATGCCGACCTCGCCTCTTTAAGCCCTTCGATTTTGAAGCATACTATAAGTTCACTTCCGAGGGACCCGGAAGGAGAGATCTATCTGGTCTTAGGACTTACTGTGGCCTCTAAAATAACAAAACTTTGTTTTTTTAATGTTTCCATGTAATTCGTTACCAGCAGAATAAAGATGGAAACTTCAATGTATCAAATACAGTGAAAAATAGAAGATTAACACAAAGATAATAATAATGCTATTCTTTTTTTATTTGGATTCCTTTACTTTTTGGGTAATGTTTTATTTAATTCAATGATATGAAATTTGGATTGGGTACACTTGATAGTATAAATCATTTGAAAAGTAAACGCATTCGCTATGTAGCGGATCTTTTACAAGACATCTCTTAGATATAAAACAGAGTTGGTACCAGAACTGATGGCGATGTTTTGTCTTCAGTTACCTATAGAATAGTTGACTTCGAGGCGATGATGGATGGTCTACAACGAGAGACTCACAAGTCAAAATGGCCACATGAGGCCCAGGGCAGGGCAGGCCACATGAACCAGTGTTTGGACAAGTAAGAGACGTGTGCCCGAATGTGTGCACACGTGTAGCGTGTGATTGCTTGGTGGTTCATAGTATTCTACGCCAGGGGCGGCTAAAAAAAGCTAAAAAAATAATTTGGTCATGCGCCAAAATTTTTATTTATTGGTCTATATTTAATAATTCACAAAATTTGGGCTTTTTTATGTATAGTTTTCATAAATTTTTGACCCTTAATTGCAATAGAAAATAATTATTAAAAAAAAAATATGAGCTCTGGCATTTGCTCTTGTTGCTCATGTCCAGGACCGCCAATTTTTTTAACGCTCAAGTGTGATACGTGTTAGGTGCTTGGTTATGTTTTGTGAATCAATTAGGCAGGTGTGAGCCGTCCTCACTGAGTAATTCGTTCTCGCCAATGTTTACAAGCGCATGGCTTTGCCGTGCCAGCTAAGAATGCGTAAAACAGAGGTTAAAGAAAGGTAATATC